CAGGTGGGCTCCAGCCGCTGCCGCAGGGGGCGGGAGGAGGCTGAGGCCAGCGATGGCCGCCGGCCGCCCCGATCGCCGCCCACACCGGCCGCGCGGACGCGGGGGCGACCCCACCCCCACGGGGCGACCCCACCCCCACCCAGCCTCCCCCGCAGCTGCCCGGCTGGCGCGATGGGCGGCGGCGGCTCGGCCCTGAGGGTCTGCGCCGACCACCGGGGCGGCATCAACTGGCTCAGCCTGAGCCCGGACGGGCAGCGCCTGCTGACCGGCAGCGAGGACGGCACGGCCCGGCTCTGGAGCACCGCGGACGGCCGGTGCTGCGCCCTCTTCCAAGGTAGACCGAGCCGCGGCGCTCGCACCTGGGTGCTGCGCGGCTTTCCCTCCTTCCCCCAAACGCAGCGCCGGCCCGCGCCCCGACCGCACCTGGGGCAGGCGGTGGGCGCCGAACGGAATCCGCCCGGGCTCAGCCGGCCAGGGGCACGGAGGTGCAGGCGGGCTAACCCCGCAGCTTCCTGGAATCGGGTGCTCAGCTCCCCTCCCCGGTCTAGTCCCCGCAGGAAGCCGTTAGGGCCACATCGAATAAATGAAATCCCACCCTGCTGCCAAACAAAACCTTCCCCTCTCCCTCTGGCCTGGTGACCTTTAGCCAGCCATGTTCTCCCCCGGGTCCCTCTGGTGACAGGGGCGGATAGGTTACTGCGCCGGAGTCCACGGGGAACGGTTAGTGCGACTGGTTAGTTAGTGCTCCACTACCTACTGAGGGATGTCTTGGAGATCGATTGCTTTTGCTAAAAAAGCAGTGGTGGGAATCCTACGACTTGGATTTGACTCTGTGACAACTGGCTGACTCAGGCCCCTACCTACCCCTGTGCCCTACAGGGGAATTTCTGTTAGTCTTCACACTGCTAGTATCCAGGTAGACAGCGATGACATCTGGACACGTCTACGTTCCTCCCCCACCCCGCTCCCTAGCAGCCACCCTGCCCCTCCCTCCTGTGTACTGCCTCCATCCCATGCCTCCTATAGAGGGGCGTCAACGAGTTCCTGGAAGAATGGTATGAACGATAAATGGAACTTCTCCATGAATATTTTGAAGCCAAGTGACCCCCCCTTCCGCCAGAGGTATCATCCGCTGTAGAATCAAAGGGGAAGGGAAGGAATGATATGCTTATAGGCTTATCTAGAACCGTTTTTCAAGAGGGGGTGTGGAATCAATTATTCCTAAGTATGAATAGTGTTTCATGACACAGTTTCAGACCCACTTACTATGGGCTCCTGTCGGAAAGCCTACACCAGCCGGTCTGCAGTAGCCTGGCTCCCGGTTCTCTGTCCGGAGGATAGCTCTAAGACCTCAAATCCAACAGATCCCGGGCGCCTGCTCAGGCCTTACCGCTTCTAGAGGCCTAAGGAGTACAAATTTGTGTCGGTATTTGGTTGATCCGCACCCTCCTGGTTTTAAATAGAAATGATTTCCAAGCCCAATTGCGATAACTTTGCACTACTTGTTAGTGTGGATATTAGTGAATTCACCACCATTTCTCCTCCCCGTTGCCCTCAACTCGCACGCATACTCAGCTAAGACCCAAGATCTGAGATCTTGTGGGACCGTTCACGTCCAACGTGTACTGCTTCTCAAGCATGAGTTTCTTGGGAGGATATTCTGAAATGGGCCCCACTCCAGTGACCCCTGTGGGATAGATCTTTCGACCTGGTGTTTCTCATAAGCTTGCGAGAGAATCTAACACACAGCTGCCCGGGACCCCCTGTGGAGTCAAGCCTGTGCTGGTTCCCACCCCGCACTGTTGAGCTGTAGGCTTTTCCAGGTTAGCGGTAGCCTCTGCGCACGTGACTGCCCACTCTTGCCCAGTTCGGCCCTGCCCTGCACACCTAGCCCCAAGACTAGCATCTGGGCCCTCTCCACACCCCAGTGATGCCCTCACAGCTGCCGTCCCATGAGGACACTTAAACCAGCTGCCTAGTGAGGCCTTGCAAGGCCCTGATTGAGACTCAGCAGAAAAATGCCACCACGAAGTTGTGTCTGCCATTAGTGGGGCTGGGACTTTTAAGCATTTCAGCGACACGGGGGAAAGTAAGCTTCCTTTCTCCTGAGAATAGCTCAAAGAGACGAAATTCCCAAAGGAATGTGTTGTGTGTGATGGGACTTTTGTGGGAGCACAAGGTCTTGCTCCAAAAACTAAACTCACTTCCATCGAGCTGATGTCCTCTCCTAGCGGTCCTCATAGCGACCCTACAGACAGGCTGGAGCTGCCACTTCTGACTTTCTGAGACCGTAGTTCTTGATGGGAGTAGAAAGCCCCGGCTGTCTCCTCAGGGGCACCTGGTGGTTTCGAACTGCTGACCTTTTAGTTAGCAGCTTAACTTGTAACCACGAGGCCTCACCTCCTCAAACTAGTGCTTTTTATAGAAATATACATATATATTAGTTTTTATTGTGACTCAGGAGAGTTTTTACAGATTTGATGGTAATGTTTCTATTAGATAATTTATCAACCCTCCCAGTGGCTTGCCTGCTTGCCTCACACACACCCCCACACCCCTACTCCTACCCCAGCAACTCCTTCTTGTGGGATATTGTCTTCCCCTTCACCCCAGTTGACACCTGCCTACCCTGTAGCCTACAGCATCCCTCCCTCCTCCCCACTCCCACTCCTGGTTACCATCAGCCTCTCTGGTATGAAAACCTTTGTCTTGATTTTCCCTGTTAAGACAGTGGTCCCACACAATAGTTGTCCTTTTGTGTTGCCTAATTTCACCCAGCATCATGTCCTCCAATGCCACCTGCGTCATGAGGCGTTTCCCAAATTCACCATGATTCTTTCACACTGTGAAAGAGCCCTCGTGCCAGAGTGGTTACATGCTAACTGGAAGGTCAGCACTTTGAAACCACCCGCCTCCTCGGCAGGAGAAAGGCTTTCTATTCCCATCAACAGGCACGGTCTCAGACATTCACAGGCGCTGTCCTCCCCTGACCAGTTGGACCATGAGTCGTTATCAGCTCAATGGCAGTGAGTTTGGTGGCTGGGGAGCAGGTCCTACAGTTGATCCCCCTTCTTCCCCTGATGGACCTTCAGGAGATTCCTGCTTCTTGCTGTGGAGAACAGTGCGGTGGTGCTGTGCATGTATCTGTGGTTGCTGTGGTTCCTATTTCTTTAGGGTATGTACCAAGTGGAGGGAAGGCTGGGTCATAAGACATTTCTAGTTCCAATTGCTTGAGGAAGCGCCACACCATCGAACCCTTTCACAGTCCTTCCAGCAGTGGAGGAGGGTTCCCATCTCTCCACACTCTCTCTAGCATTTGTTGTGCTCTGTGTTTATGTTTTTGCTTTTTTTAAACTTTGCTGTTATCCCGGGCATAAGGTGATCTTGTTTTGATGTGCATCTCGAATAGCTAGTGTCTATCAAAATATTAATAAAATATGCTACAATCCGTTTAGGTCCCTCAGTGCCCCAGATGGCTTATACTCGGTTGCTTATTGAAAGGCTAGTTGTTCAAACCTACCCAGAAGCTCCGAGGGAGAAAAGCCTGGGGGATCTGTTTCCATTGAGATCACAGCCACGAAAGTGCTGCTCTGCTACACGGGGTGGACCAGTGTCAGAACTGGGGCAACGGCACATGTGTTTTTTTATTTATTTTTTGGGGGGGTGTATGAACATTTCTGTATATGTTATCATAACTTTATACTGTATCTGTTATTATAACCATGTTGTTAGGTGCCATCAAGTCAGTTTCAACACTATATTCCAATTCATAAAATAGCGATGTAGGTAGCTATTCATGTTCGTAACTGTTGTGATCATTAGAGATTGTCTACAGCGCTAAGGCTCCAACAATGGGTTCAAACAGAAGAACTTGTGCGAGGATGGTGCAGACATCCCCGGCGGGATGTCATTCTGCAGGGCAGTCTCTATGGGTCGGAACCAACTCCCCACATCAAGGAGAGCTAGGACTGTCCCCCCCCTCGCAGATCAGAGCAGCTTGACTTACACACCACACAGCTTTCTGTGTGTTTTACAGGTTTCACTCTGTCAGGTATGTGCCATTGTCTTCGTTCTCCTGCATGGGTGGGGAAATAGAGGCACAGTGAGGTGACAGTACTGGCCAGAGGTCACCAACTGGCCAGTGGTTGGGGACTCTAACTCACTAGAGTCTTCTCCAAGCCACTGTGGCCGTTCCAACACAGGGCAGGCTTGGCCCCGGGCCACCTGCTGAGCTGTGGAGCCTCTGGCTCTGGCTCCAAATTTCAGATTCTTTCCACTCTGCCTGGTGGATGTTGCCACAGTGGGTGGAGGTCTTGGTCGGTGATTGCCTGTGGGTCAGTCAGTCCTCATCTGAGTGGAGGAGTGGGTGGAGTTGGTCCCCTCTCATGGTTTTCATCTGATGACAAACTTGCTCAGTTCAGGCAGCAGAGGGGGCGGTGGGCAGAGACTGCGAGATTTCAGTGATCTTTTCCTTCTATTTTCCCTCCACAAACGTTTGGAAGCCCTCTCATATCTTGCAAGTATAATTAGGCAGGCTTGGGTCCTGGGGATGACAGGCAGTGGACCCATGAGACAAGCTGCCTGTGGGGTAAGCTCTTGGCAGGTACGTTGTCACTTTTGGAGACCCCGGGACAGTCGGCCTGCATGTCCAGAATGTGGGTGCCACGGGCAAGCTTTCCTCCCAAGACACCCCCAAAACCAAACTGTTTCTGAGGAGCTGGGCTAACACCTTTTAAAAAAAGACGAGTAATATGCTGGGGCTTCAAGACGTTCCTGGGGAAAGAGCATTAAAAAAAAGCTAATGGAATTTATGCATAACAAAACATTTGCCATTTAAAGCATTTTGATATGTATTCTTCACTGACATTAAGTATTTTCACAGTGTTGTGTAATTATCATCACTATCCATTACTTCTCATCTCCAAACAGAAACCTGGTATCACCGCATTGCCCACTCCCTTCGGCCCTGGTCATCACTCATGAACTCCCTACATTTGCCTGCTTTCGATAGTTCACATACATGACTTCATAAAGCATTCGTCCTTTTTTGTCTAACTTATTTCACTCAACATGCTGGTTCAAGGTTCATCCACATCATAGTATGTATTAGAACTACATTTTTCTTTCTGACTGAGATTCTCCTGCATGACCATACCATGTGCTGTGTTTGTTTATCCATTCATCTGTTGATGAACACGGGTTGTTTCTACGTTTGCGCTGTTATCGTGAATACTGCTGCAATGCACATTGATGTGCATCTGTGTTTCTCTCTCTGTTTTCAAGGCCAGGAGTCATATGGTCATTCAATGTCTAACTTTATAAGGAACTGCCCTC